TATGTAGAATCAATGGTAAGCAATATAAGAAAGCAAATAAAAACGAGTGACCTATCAAACAAGGATGACTACGGGCGTCGGGATCGTATTCGCGTGTATGGGTATATGCTAAGCATGCGAGAATAACGATTATGACTTGTATTCGGGAATCATCAAGCAACAAAGATAGAGAATTCACCTCTCGGTCTACTAACTCACTATCTACAGAGTAACTCGTCAATCTCTCGATCTATTCAAGTTAACCCTAGGTGCATAAAGAACGCTATCATCAACCCTAAATCGATTAAACCATATCTCTATGTGAATAATACGATCTATCCTATTGATTTTGATCCGAAACAAACCCATATCTCTATGTGGTTCAGAATCCAAGATAATTGATCAAGGGGTTAGCAAACATCAATCCAATAAAAGTGCAAATCAATAGAACCGAATCAAATCAAAACCGAAATCCAAGTTAGGGTTCAAACATACCCAAAACACATACGAATCCCTAACCCATAGCCGTGGATCTACTCACGGTTCATAGAAAACAATAGAAAGAACAGAGAAAAAGAGATAAAAGAAGGGATAGAAAAGCTCATGTCGATGTCTAATCTTCACGATCGAATCCTCCTTCTTCTTCCCGAAATCCCGTGAACTTCTATTCTTCTCTCACCAAAAGCTCTCCAAAAGTCTGTATCTAAGTGTTCTCTAAGGCTCTCCCCTGTTCTAGGACGTGGCTAGGGCTTTTTTATAACCCTAGGGCGGCTCCCAAGAGTCCTATTCCCATTCAGATGCTGAAAATCGCGAAACAGGGTTTTAGACTGGATCCGGACCGATTCCAGGTGGATCCGGACCGGATCCAGATTCCTGGGGTCAAATTCTGCGTCCTTGATCCGGACCGGATCCAGTTGGATCCGGCCCTGCGCTGGCAGTTTTCTGGCCTTCACGATTTCGCTCGTAACTTTCTGCTCCAGTGTCGGATTTAAGCGATTTTGGTCTACGCGAAGCTCTTGAAGTGCTCTTTCCAATGGTATAGGTCTCGCACGATTTGGACCTCTGTAGAGAAAGTTATTGATGTCGCAACATGAGCATCTCATCCGGACTTCTCCTTTAACGCTCCAATTAGCTCCTTTTCGAGTCCAATCATCTCCGAAACCTGTAACTCTGCAAAACTAGAGCACAACCGGGTTTTGTATCCTAACACGCCTAGAATGCCTATGAATGCATGTGATTATCCTATAAAACCTAGACAAACTCTCATCAAAATATAGAGAAGAATAGGAGTTATCAAATCCCCCCAGACTTAAACCTTTGCTCGTCCTCGAGTAAAGAACGAAGGAATAAAATCTGCAAAACAGGGAATGACGAACATCAAATAGCATCATCGCGAGAGATCAAAAGCAAAACATCCATCCAATACTAGTTTCCCGAGAATCGTACTCAAACCGGTCTACTATGATCTTCCTACCAAAGACTAATCT